CTCTCTCTCTCTCTCTCTCTCTCTCTCGGGGAGTAAAGTCTCACGCTTTCATGCGTGTAGCTGCAGACTTACTGATGCATTTTCCCTCATATGCCACTCCAATAGACCTGCCGAGGAGACAGGTAGCTCTTCTCAGGTGACAGGCGCTGGCATAGACGATCCCATCGTTTCCACACAGGTATTGCTCGGGCGACGTCACCTCGGGGCAAATCCGATTACACGTCACACAATACGCGTTGTTGGTCTGGTCTACGACGCATGTGGAGCTGCCGGGGCACAAGACGTCACGGCACGTTTCTGGCGAAACAAAGACATTGGGAGAGTTGTGTGAAAATGACACGAAATGCAAGAAATACAAGAAAGCGATGGATTCTTTCTGGCTCGCTCAGCTTTCAGAAATGTGGTGACAGTTACATTTACTTACTCTTGCATTTGCCCTGGTACTGTACGTCCAGATCGGGATGACCTTTGCATTTAGCTTTTAGCAGTGCGCATTCGTCTTTGTAGGTCTTTCCATCAGAGCCGCAGACAGGTCCTTTCCATGTGATGTTGGAGCAGTCTGGTGCGCACACGCAGCGCGGCTTGCTTCTTCGGTTCAACTTGCACCTCTTTCCGGGCCCACAGTCAACATTGTCGCAGGTTTCTAAAACAAAAGCTCTGTGTTATGTGATGCTAATGAGGATTTTTTTCTTCCCCCTGGTGTGTATTCTGGCGCGTAAAGTAATGGGACAATTACGCAAACCAGAACACCAGTTTAATTCATTAACCAAAATGAGTGATTACATGTAATGTGAGAAAACGAAGGAAAATGAGTGCACCTCCACCTTTGCAAGGTATGCAATTAGGAGCTCCGCCATTGAAGATCATCCACCTAAAGAGCGTGCTGTTGGGGACGTCCTCCTCGGTCCAGGACGTCCCCAGTCTTCCACTCCGACAGCACTCCTCCCTGCTCATCCCGGGCATGTAGAGCACCTGGCACCTCCCGTTTTTCCCCTGCTGCAACCAACAGTTCCCAGCTGTAGACAAAAAAAACAAAAAAACTCGAATGCCGCATGTTGGACGTCTAAAAACCCGCTGACCCAGACTCAATATACACACGCAGCCGTATTATCCGAGACGCTCCCTCCCTCCCTTTTCGCCCTCCCGACAGTATTTTGTCTGATTTTTTTTTTTTTTTTTTTTTCCGAGACTGTTAACACTTGCCTATCCCAACTGTGACTGACAGCCCTTACAATGCAGCCATAACCAAAAAAGTAAGAAGAATCTTCGGAGGGGGGGTTGTCTTTTATTCCCAGTGTCTGCTTGCTATCACTGGACAGAAACGGGAGCGTCTAGACAGCGTTAAATAGCAGCCAATCTTTCTCCTTTAGAAAACCACGGTTTTTAGGTAACAAGGCTACACACTCCACCGTCTCCAACGCCTCACTCACTACGTTATCCCAGACAGCAACCAGACAATGACTTACTTATTAAAAAAGCAATGTAAAGTTTATTTCAGAGATATTAAATTGTGACACATAACAGTTTTTCAAAAAAAATATTACTTCCCACAGACAGTAACAGCATGTTTAAACCGACAAAGACACAAACACATTTTTTTTTTTAAATCTTCACGAGATAGTGTGTTTCTTATGCTGAATTGAAATATGTCCCCCGAAACCATGAATGATGGGTGCAAAAGCCTGCATAGGTATAAAACTGCAACTGGTTTTGCACACAGTGCAGAAAGGCTACTTGCGGGAAATGTATAAATAACACGCTCACAGTGGATATTCTGAAGTTTGTTGGAGGATTGACAACAACATCGCGGAATGCTAAACGCTCACACAGTTGCAAAAATATGTTCAGGTATTGTGAAAGACAGTTACCAACACGGCGTGGCGGCTGTAGTTCGCGCGCATGGTGACGACTGCAAAACTTGCCATATAATCTCACTTTGAAGTGTCCCACAGGGCACCTGTTTTCTATACGCTTTACGCAATCACTGCCTGATGTAGAGAGACTTTTATCAAGAAACTTTGAAAAGTTTCTCGGTGGCAGCAAGTGGAAGACACCCCGCGGGTTCTGTGACTGACAGCAGTGCACGTTTTAAAAAAGAAAAAAGAAAAAAAAGCGAAAGAGAATAAAAGGAAATTGATAAGGAGAGCTTACCTTGAACTTTTTGATGTTCCATGAGGTGACAAAGCCATAAGAACAAGAGAAAAATGCCCGGGTGAAGGTGGTGTTTCAGCATCCCAAACATGATGGAGAGGCAAAGTGAACCACGTATTTGACACAGGCAGCGCAAAAGTAATCTGCTTAAGGTGGCAGTGTTGAATAAGTGTCAGTCTGAGAATGCAGCCTCTCTTTAAATCTATAAGGGGTCTCGGGTTGACTGTCTCTGGTGGGCGGTCTCCTCTTCTATGGGGGTGGGGAAAATTTTTTTTTCCTTACCAAAGTTCTTTCAATCCCAATCAGGTGACATCGTTACTAGCAACTTTCTCTTTGCCGCAATAATTAAAGGATATGAAAATACTTGAAAGAAAACACCATACTTGGAGCTCAGGCACTCTGCAGAGAAAGAAAGCGCAAGATGGAAAAAAGTATGAGCTGATATAAAAATGTTGTTGTTGTTTTGAAATCAACACTGTTCCCGAAGTTTAATTTTAACCCGTTTGTATACTTTTATCACATCATTTACTCACTTTCACATGATTCCTCGTGGAAAAAGAGCACTCGTGGGCTTTGCATCCTCTATACACATGGCGTGGACATGTGCTCTTTAATAATAATAATAATAATAATAATAATAATAATAATAATAATAATGACGATGATGATGGTGATGAACAGACAGGCCCACTACCAGCATACCTTTCCAGGCATACCATCAGTCCTTCAAATTAAGGTTACTGTTTGGTGGTTACTGATATATATATATATATTTTTTCCACCAACTGCAGACAAAAGAGCAAATCTTTTTGATGTGAGTTGCCTTTTGGAACACATCCGAGCCCAGACAATAATAGAATTCGTAGTAGTCCGCAGCCGCACTGCTAATGTTAGAACAGACAGTTGTTTGGGTTTCTCTCCCGGGTCAAGCTTTTAAATATAATCAAACCTGTTTCCGAAGAGCCTTCAGACAGAGAAGCAGGGTGTTGCGTTTCACTGAATGAAACACACACACACACACACACACACACACACACACACACACACACACACTGCTCTCCGCTCACAGACGCTGAACTCCTTCAGAAGTCCTTGCGCGACCTCTTCAGCGGAATTCTGGTTACAGCTCTCCAAAGCAAAGTGTCTGCTGTGCGAACCAGACACCAGGAAATTAATTAACTGACGGTCAGGTAGAAGACACTGTGATCTCTTTGTCTGTATCCAGTTAAATACCACTCACTGTACAGTTTATCTCCATGATACTAATATCTGGTATCAAATCTATATTTATGTAAGATTTTAATATAGACCAGGATGTGTGTGTGTG